AGCTTGGGCTGATGATCCACCCTCACAGCTGGCCCAGGGCAGCTCTGCAGTGGCTTTGGTGGCACCTGGGGCTGGCACACACCTGAGCAGTGCATCTGTTTGCAGTGGGGAAACTCAGGAGGTTCAGATTGCTTCAAAAAAGCCCAAAATGGGAAAACCCCTCTTAGGCTGAGTGCAGCCAGCTCTGCAAGCACAGCAGGTCCCAGGGGAGTGAGGACAGACAGGATGGGGCTGGGCAATGTGGAGCAAGGTTGTCCACACTGGGTCAGAGCTCCAGGCACAGCTTCTGTGAGCAGGCCAGAGCTGCTGCGGAGAGACCCTGGGTCAATATCAATCACAGAATGCTGCAATCACCTCTGCTGTAATGAGGAATAAAATAAAATACTTCCTTTAAAATAGAAAAATGTATTTTTTACAAGTTCTTTGAAATCTTTCTCCATTACTGTACTAGGAAAAGTTTAATGATTCTCACGGGGCTTTGGTGTTGTTTACATCAGACTCAGTCCCTGAGAGTGACTTCAATAAACTTCTCAAGAACTCAAAATTAAATTGAAACTCTAAAGTTTCTTGAAGTTTTAATGGGTCCCACTGAGGAACACGACTGAGAAAGTGTCCCCGGGTTCCAGTTAGAGCAGAACACTGGAGGCAGTGATGACAGCAGGGGACAAAAAAGGCCAAGGTGTCTCTGGTGCTGAGCAAAGCTGGATGTGTTTGAGGAATGCCAAGGGCCAAGACCTGAGCCCCAGCCCCTGGCCAGGCAGATGCTGTCCCTCCCTCCTTGCTCAGGGCTTTTGCCGGGATGGGCACTGGCATGTGGGGATGTGCAATGGCAAGGGCAAGAGCATGGGGCAGCCCAATGTTGTAGTGTGTTTTTAAGGTTGTTGTTTTGGTCCCCCATTTTATTTAATATTCCCCCCCTGTTCTTTGTAAGATGGTTCTTCCCCCTCCAGTTTTCCAACCACAGATTCTTTGGTAGTTATGTTACCACGGTTACCCCTGCCCCCATTATTTGTCAATCTCCCAAGTTACATAACTGCTCCTCCCTTATCCCACCATATAAGTAAAGTTTTCCTCCTCCCTGAGCCCAGTCAATCACCCCCCATTCCTCCTTGCTTTCTAGAACATTCTTCTCTCTGGGGGTGGTGGTTGGCTGGCGTTCCGGGGCCCCTCCTTTGTTCTATGTTTATTGGATAAGTTCTTGTGTCAGTTTTCTTATGTACCACCCCACATGTTCCCCTATTGGTTAGCTGGGCTTCCCCTCCCGTCCCCACCCCTTCCCTGTAAAATTTTGTCTCCCCCCGTGTTCGGGGCCATTTTGCTGTGGGTTTTTCCACCTGTTGGTTTGCCCTGTGCTGCATGTGGGCTCTTCAATAAACCGACGTTTTACCCCCAGCAAGTGGTCGCCTCCTCTCTCGTCTCGTCCAGCGCGAACCCAAGTCCGCAATCCAGCCCAGCCTGAGGCCAGGACGCCAAGGGGGGCTGGCCTCAGACGCGCAGGGGTGTCGGCCGCTTTACCCCTTCAGCTAGCCGGACTTAGGGCCGTGTACGCCCTCGCGCAGCCCCTGCCAGGCTGCTGAGCAGGGACAAGGAGGCAATGAGGGCCCAGGCCTGCAAGGGTCACTTGTCTCCTGCTCCTGCCTCAGGCCCAGGCCCAGCAGCCATGACCAAAGTGCTGCCCAAGTTGGCTCTGGCAGGGCTGTCTTGCAGCTGCTGCACATGCCTGTGCCCTGTGCAGCCCAGGCTGTGCTACGGTGTCCCTGCCCTGCGCCTCTGTCCCTGCAGGCTGTCGGCATCCCCTGGCTGCCCCACCTGGCTGGCCCCTTCCTTTGCTGACAGCTCTGCCTCCTGCCTGCCTCTGCCTGCCCACACAAAGCCTGGGGCTGATACCAAAAGGCTTCATTCCATGTTTACCCTGCCTGTGAACTTTCAGCACAGGAACAAGGCATGCAGGGGCTGCTTTCCCCAGCAAGGATGGTTGGAAGTAAAGAAGACATCTGGCTCAAGGGTGCAGAGACAGAGAAAACAAGGAGTGAATCTTGGAACTTGGGGTGGATTTTATGAAAGTGGGCAAATTGTAATTCACATTTAGGGTCTGTATATAAGGAACACCCTGGTACAATTACATGTTCACATAAGGTTAGGAGTTATCCCATTTTGGACCTTAAGCCTGAATAAATGATTCCCTCTGAAAAAGGAAATTAGTGGTCGGGAGCCTTATTCTGATATTTCAGAGATTTGGTGTCAGTGGGGCCTCACAGAACCCAAGGAGTCAGCTGTGACACTGTGGAAACTCATGGAACAAAGGGTCCATGGTGACACAGCAGAACCCCATGGAACCAAAATCCATTTGGGCACCTTGGGGCCACATTGAACCAATGGTCAATTGTGATACTGTGGATCCAAGGAGACCACTGTTACCCTGAGATAACTCTTGGAACCAAGGGACCATTGTGACACAGCAAGGCCTTGTGGAACCAGGAGCCAGGAGCAGAAGACAAGTGACCCTTGCAGGCCTGGGGCCTCATTGCCTCCTTGTCGCTGTTCAGCAGCCTGGCAGGGGCCGCCCCATGCTCCTGCCCTTGCCATTGCACATCCCCACATGCCAGTGCCCATCCCGGCAAGAGCCCTGAGCAAGGAGGGAGGGACAGCATCTGCCTGGCCAGGGGCTGGGGCTCAGGCCTTGGCCCTTGGCATTCCTCAAGCACACCCAGCTTTGCTCAGCACCAGAGACACCTTGGCCTTGTTTGTCCCCAGCCGTCATCACTGCCTCCAGTGTTCTGCTCTAACTGGAACCTGGGGACACTTTCCCAGTTGTGTCCATTTGTGGGACTCATTAAAACTTCAAGAAACTTTGGAGAGGGATATTGACTTTGAATTCTTAAGTGATTTCTTCAACTCCCTATCAGGGACTGATGTTCAGGGACTCAGCACCCAACCCACAAGAGAAGTCCTTGTTCTCTGTCTGTGCTGCTGGGCTGGGCCAGGCTCCTGGCGCAGAGGCAGCTCCTGACAAGGGCAGCAGAGCTGCAGAGAGACAGCTCTGGCCAGGAGCAGCTCCCCTCCCAGCCCAGCAGCCACCTGGGCACAGCACAGAGGCACAGAGAGAGCAGAAGCAGCCTGGGCTGGGAGGGTGATTGAGCTCTCGCTAGGGGATGAATCTTCAAAGGATTTGAATGAATAATTCTCTGCCTCTAGGAAAGTTCAACTTCCATTCCTGGAGGCTTCTCCTAAGGCTGGCACATCCCACAGTTTCCATGATCTTTTGCAAGCCCTCACCCAGTTCCTCCTTTGCAGAGGAGGCGGCCATAGGGCAGACAGGGGAGTATCTGCAGGCGGCAAGGGCAGGCAGCACAAGTGACAAAGAGGTTAAAGGGGTGGGGTGGGAGGACAGGAGAGACCCCATCAGGGGAGAAATCTGCACAGCCCCTGGACACGGTGAGTCTCTGGCTGCAAGGCAATGCAGGTGAGTTCCTGGAAGTGTCTCTGACAATGCCAGCACTGACAGGACCTGTCAGGGTGGCTCTCCTGGATGTCCTGGTGTGGAGCAGAACAAGCTCCAGAGCGGGGATTCCCTGCTGCCCCCTCAGAGGCACAGGACAGGTCCCTTCACAGGCAGAGCTGCCCCAGGGCCATGGGGTGGAGATGGGCTCTGTGAGCCCTGGCAGGGAGCGGAGCTGGGCACAGGGAGATGCTGCTGGCAGGAACAGCCCCACTCAGCAGAGACACGGGCAGGGAGGGACAGGGAGGTGCTGCCACAAATGCTGGCCTGGGGGATGTGGCACCTCCCTGCTGTGCCTGTGGCTCAGGCACCTTTCCCCATCAGCTCCTCCCTGGGCTCCTTTCCCATCCTAAACAGAGCCCCTGCCCTCATCCCACGGGGGCTCAGCTGTGCAGAGCCCCTGCAGCAGCCAGAGCCCAGGGAAGGAAGGACAAGCCCCTGATTTCCATCAGTCTCTATGTCCCTGCTGTCCCCTGGCAGGAGCATTGTGACATTTCTCTGCCATCTCCAGGTGCCTGTGCTGTCCTTGTTGCCACCATTGGGTTTCTGAGGCAGAGCCAGGGTTTGGGGCTGGCAGGTGCCCGTCCAGGCAGGGACCCCTTGGATCCTGCTGTGGAGATGTGTCTGTGGGAGCAGAGTGCCCAGGTGCCCTCAGGGCCGTTCAGCTCATTCCCTGGGTGTCCTGCAGGGCTGCAGGATGCCCTCCAGAAGGGCACAGCTCTCCCGTGCTGTCTCTGGGCTGCCTGGGATCCCCATGGAGGAGACAGCTCAGTGGCAGGGCCAGGAAAATGCTGCTGGGCAGCTGCACCTGGGCACTGCAATGATCCCTCTGTGCACCAGCCTGGCAGGAGACAGCTGAGATCCTCATGAGGCACTCTGGGAGAAGGCGAGGGCTCTGTCCATCTGCTCTCTGCCCAGAGCCCTCTGCCCTCAGCACTGCCCTGTTTCTCTGAGGGGAACTCCTCTGGGTGCCTCTCCTTCAGCTCCAAGCTGCCAGCAAGGGGCAGCTGAGAACAGCCCTGATGGGCAGAGCTGCTCTCTTGTCCCTGCACTGAGAGACCATCCCTGTGCTTCTCACACCCACACGGTTTCACCTGCAGTGCTTTAGAAATGTCAGGGATTTCAAACACTCGCAACCACTCCTAACTGTGGCAGGTGCAGCTGGATGAAAAAAGACAAGGAATTTCCTCAGCTCAGTTCTTCAGACGGGCAAATTGCAAACAGCAGGACTGAAAAGCTTTCTGGTGTTTGACGAGTCCATTTAATTGGTGATCATCCAGCCTTCTCAGTTGCCTCTCACTGGACAGGACTAAGGAATCCTTTGGAGCCCATTTGTAAGTCCCTGCTCTCAATGCCTGCAAAACCCAGGGCCCAGGAAAGGGGAATGCAGAGAAGTGTTCCTAAAAAGAGAGACTCTGAATGTTGAATTGCTATGAGATATGTAATAAATTTTGCTCTGCATCTGGCCCAGCTCTGTCCTGCCTTTTCCTCCTCAGCAGAAAACCATTTCCTGAGGCAGCAAATGTCCAACAGCAGCTCCATCAGGCACTTCCTCCTGCTGGCATTGGCAGACACGCCGCAGCTGCAGCTCCTGCATTTCTGCCTCTTGCTGGGCATCTCCCTGGCTGCCCTCCTGGGCAATGGCCTCATCATCAGCGCCGTAGCTTGCGGCCACCACCTGCACACGCCCATGTTCTTCTTCCTGCTCAACCTGGCCCTCAGCGACCTGGGCATGATCTGCACCACTGTCCCCAAAGCCATGCACAATTCCCTCTGGGACACCAGGGACATCTCCTACTCAGGATGTGCTGCACAGCTCTTTCTGTTTGTCTTCTTCATTTCAGCAGAGGTTTCCCTTCTCACAGTCATGAGCTATGACCGCTATGTGTCCATCTGCAAACCCCTGCACTACGGGACCCTCCTGGGCAGCAGAGCTTGTGCCCACATTGCAGCAGCTGCCTGGACCAGTGCCTTTCTCAATGCTCTGCTGCACACAGCCAATACATTTTCCCTGCCCCTGTGCCATGGCAATGCCCTGGGCCAGTTCTTCTGTGAGGTGCCCCAGATTCTCAAACTCTCCTGCTCATACTCCTACCTCAGGGAACTTGGGCTCCTTGGTGTTAGTGCCTTTTTATCATTTGCCTGTTTTGGGTTTATTGTTTTCTCCTATGTGCAGATCTTCAGGGCTGTGCTGAGGATCCCCTCTGAGCAGGGACGGCACAAAGCCTTTTCCACCTGCCTCCCTCACCTGGCCGTGCTCTCCCTGTTCTTCAGCACTGCAGCCTTTGCCTACTTGAAGCCCCATCCCTCCATGTCTTCCCCCTCCCTGGATCTGGGAGTGTCAATTCTGTACTCGTTGGTGCCTCCATCCCTGAACCCCCTCATCTACAGCCTGAGGAACCAGGAGCTCAAGGAGGCCCTGAGGAAAATGATGACTGGATGGTTTCAGAAGCATTAAACTGTCTCCTTTCTGTTGCAGAGCCTTTAGAATGTAACTCTTTACAATCTCAGACTTTTCCCGTATTTGACCTTTTTTTTTCAGTAACTTCTTTGACTACTGGTTTTTTTTCTGCAAAATATTGCAGTAATATTGTTTGCATTTCTGCATAGATGTCTGTATTATTTTAAGGACAAAGACTTACAAGCAGTCTGTTCCCTGTGCATTTAAATAAAAACAAGTGCCTGCCCCAACCTGTTTATCCAGGATTCTTCCTCAGCTCTTAACTGTCCCTGAAACAAACAAAAAGGGCCAGGAGACTTCTCCTTTTTCAATGCCTTTATTAAAAGTGATCAGCTCAGGATTGGGTGGCTCGACGGGTCTGCAGTCTCCGTCGTCTCTCCCAAAGCGACTCAGAGGAGGAGGATATGCGCAGCTCTGTCCACAAGGGGCAGAGCTGGGGGAATCCAGTCCTCGTGGGAGCCTTTAGGGCGTGACTCCCCGTCAGATGGTGCCCCACCCACTCAGTCGGCCTGGTCTCACCGCCGGGGTCGTCTCTCTTGGTCAGGGCAAGAGGCTCTGAAGGTGTTTTGCATCTCTGCAGGTTCAGCATTCGGCTCTTCACGTCTAGACATCACTCTAGTCTCTCAACTCTTAGGTGGCTCGTCGTTTTGGGGTCTTCTCTGTACACCGGGGGACCCATGCTGCATTGTGGTCTTGGAGTCACTTTGCATAGCCCCCCCCACCTTCTACTGTTCGGGAAGGTTCCCACCCTTCTGGGAAAGGTACAACTTAACCTCGGGCGAGGCTCTGCTGATACAAAAGGAGCGATTAGCCACAACAACTCGTGATTACAATAACAAAACACGAAGAACTTCCTTCGGCAGCTACCCGTGATCTGGCTGCTTTTTGTAACTTTTTCTCACAAAAAAAATATTACCCGAATTTTGTTCATAACAGTCCCCCCTCTTTTTCTTTGATCGAGCTTAAATTCTAAGCTCGCATCAACTCACAAATTTTTTTGTTTTGAATCTACTATAAATCTCTTGTGCACTTTGGTAATCCTGGTTACTTAACTTTGTTACTTTCCTTGGTTTCTTCAGGTTGGTCTGCACGGCAAGTACTATTCTACTAAAACAGATAAATAAGCATAGTAAAAAAACCAATCCTCCAAGTACACACACAGTGAGAAAAACTACCTTTTCCCATACATCCTTTTTGAAAATCTCCAGGTTCTCCCACCCACTGGGATCAAGTGTAGGAGTTTGATCTTGATTATTTACACATGCTAATCTTTTTATTTCATTTGAAATGTTCCTAATAATTGAATTCTTTATTTTTAATACTGCCTGGAGCCTGATGACTTTGTTTAACATAGGTATTGGGGTCTGAATTTGGCTTTTACAATTTTGGATTTTCTCAATTTCTATTTCACTTTCCTAGTTCTGTTTATTTTCTCCCAAATCATTATATATAGGAACTCCCAAACTTGATCCAGTTTCTTTGGGTAATAAGAGAATTGGTTTTATCACTCTAGCAATGCAGTTGCCAGACGAGATCAAACCTAGGGATTTTGGGCTCCCTTGAAATATGTTCTAAAAGGGGTTAATCTCCTTTCCAGTACACTCATATAAATACTTGTAACAAACAATTTTTCTTACCATTTTCACCGTTTCTTTGCTTCTTACTAGTTCTGCTGAGCTTGTTTCAGCAGCATCACATTCAAAGCACAACCAGGCTTCCCCTACAGTACACTCTCCTAGGAGTGGCTGCCCAAAAGTGGCAGTATTGTATGCTATCCAATACACTCTCTTATTTTTCTGATAAAGGACCAATTGGGAGGGTTAACACGATCAGGGTCAGAACTGATGTGGACTCTCGACAAGGAGCTCACTTCCTCCGCATAGAGAAGTTGGTAGCATTCACTGCACCGCTCAGCTGGGCTTCCCAGAGCACCACCAGCAATCAGAGCCATCAGTACTACCCTTCCCAAGAGTCCGGTATGGGTCATCTTGCAGAGCCTGCCCACCCGGCCTTGCCTCTTGGGGAATTTTACTGAGGAAAAGCTTCCAAGCTCTTTAGAGTCCCTTCTACCCGCTTCTCTGGTTAAACCCCTCTTGGTCTGTTCCCTACCAATTTTGGTTTCCCCTCCCAGGGGAGTGTTCTGTGGAGGAGTAACCTGGAGTTTTTTTGAAATAAATTGGGGAACTTAACTAGAATTACTTATTTACAGTCTTAAACTTTTTACCAACATAGTTTACACAAAACAGTTTTGAAACATTTTAAGCAATATTAGAACTCTGATACCAATTTTTCCCACACAGTTCACTCTTTTTGACTCTTCCTTCTGAGAGTCAACTTTAAATCCTTTGGTCCTTTTACCACAGTATACTCAGGTGATTTAGCTTGTGAAGCAGATGAATCCTTATCCAGTGCCCGGAGGTGAGTGGTGTGGACTCTGGCCCAATGCCAGAGGGAAAAACTGGGAGTCTGGCCCAATGCCAGAAGGAGAAAGGGGTGGAGTCCGGTCCAATGCCAGAGGAAAAAAACTTGATGTTGAATCCTGGTCCAATGCCAGGAGGAGAATGGGGTGCAGTCCGGTCTAATGCTAGAGTGCCAGAGGAAAAAAAACCTGATGTTGAATCCTGGTCCAATGCCAGGGGTGAGAGTGATGTGAGTCCAACCTTTTTCCTTTTGGTCTGCACAGTCGATTTAGTAATGAAGAGTACCTGAAACAGGCTTTCAAACACAGGCATTAATGGTCTGCTATTTAATGATTTATCAAAACTCAGTTTCTCTGTCTAATGTTATTGCTTAACATCTCTTTTTCCATAGCTTCATGTTTCTCTCATCAACTTCTGCATACTCTGTATTTTGCAAGGAGTTGTATTTCTCAGCTAACTTAACTCCCAAAGTACTTTTATTCTCTTATATCTCTGTGTATTTAATTCACTGGTTTTCTGTTCTATTTTCAAGATCTTATTTATCTCTTGCTTCTGTTTCTTACTTTCACTTAGAGCCTAAATATTTCTTTCAACCCCTTACACTTAAATTTTTGGGGTTTTTTTTTCTTACACCATTCTTCTACACAATACACTTCCCTCTAAGGAAATGTGGTAAAACTTATAATGCACAATCTACATTACCTCTATTCTAATTTGTCTATATTCACTTACACATTCTTTCACACTCAAGACACAAACTGGATCCTTATTGCTAGAAAATCACGGGTCCCTGTAGCCCCCCCTCACCCTGGGGTTGGCCCACAGGTCTCAGTATCCCTGGGCCTCTTGGAAGGGCCCTGACTCTGGTTGCCTCTGGTGCACATTCACCTGTAAGGCTGTCTGTGTGTCACTCACGCTCTTACAGCTACGGCTCTCTCACACACCTGGGGAGCACTAGCCTGGTTTGCAGGTCACACACGCTCTTTGGCCACAGCCCCCACCCGCCCGGGGGACACAAGCCTGGTTTGCAGGTCACACATACACACACTTGCACTGCCCCCTTCCCACCTGCCCGGGAAGTTGAGGCTGACTGCGTGACTCACTCTCACACACACAAGACTACAATAAGGTACCTTTTACTTTCACATAATTTATTACATGTTAAGTATTACTGGCCAGTTTTGGTGCTATTGGATATCCTTTCTACCTAGCTGTTTTTGTCTAACTTCAGATGTTTTTCACTATTCTATACTATACTTCTTAGTACTTTGTTGAGACAGGACTTATCTGCTCCTGTATCTACTCAAAAATTCTAATTCTTCATTTAGGGGGCCCACCTCAAAGTTTACCAAGGGCTCTTCTAGATGTCGCATCGGGTCCCCTATAGTGTAAAGCCCCATACCTTCTAATCGTCACCTCTAAGGATCTTCCCTAAATTATCTTGTTCCCTGGCTATTGCCGCATCGAGACTAAGCTTTCTACAAAACCTCCTGACGTGTCCTGGCTCTCCACAGTAATAGCAATGTCGCTCTCTCAAAGGGCCTTGAGGTGTCTCCATCCCTCTTGCACCTGACAGTACTGACCTATCCTTGCCTCCTCCTGGTGGTGGACCCGCCCACCCTGCACTTTCTCTAGCTACAGCAACCATTACCTTAGCCTTGGCCTTTGCTTTTTCTTCCTCCCTCCTTAAATACACCTTCAATGCCTCTTTTAACAATTCATTTATGTCCTTCTCTTGCCAATCTTCCATCTTTTCCAGCTTTCTCCTTATATCAGGCCAAGATTTGGTAACAAATTGGACTTTTAACAGCATTTGACCTTCTGGGGTGTCTGGGTCTATTCTAGAGTACAACTGGAAGTTCCGCCTTAGGCGATTAAGCCAGGCAGCAGGAGCTTCATCCTTCTCCTGTGTACCCTCAAATGCCAATTGGGTGTTAGTTCCTTTGGGAACTGACTCTTTGATCCCCCGTATTATCAAAGACCTATATTCCCTCATGGCCTTCCTCCCCTCCCCCTGGTTAGGGTTCCAGCTGGGCTCCGTTAGTGGCAATTTCTGTTCACCTGATGGCACCTGGGGTCCTGGACTGTTATCTTTCTCCCATATTCTTATGCCAGCTGCCCTTATCATCTGGACCTCTTCTGGGGAAAATAATATACTCAGGATGGAATTCATCTCTCCCCAAGTGTAGATATTTGGACCTAGAAATTGATCCACTTGGTTGGCTATGCCCACTGGGTCCTCAACTAAATGCCCCAACTCTTTCTTGAATCCTCTCACCTCAGAAGCAGTTAGGGGAGCATTCACAAAGCCAACACCTCCCGCTACTCCTCCCATAGGAACCTCTCTGAGGGGAAAGAGTCTCTCCGCCTTGGAGGTCTTGGATCTGGTGCTACAGTACGGCCCATCTTCAAATGCCAAACTACTTTGAGGAATATCTGGGTTACCCTGAACTTTCTGCCCATCAGCAAGTGTATTTGCTGATAGCTGTTTACTGGATGAGGAGACATTTGTGCCCCAACTAGGGGGAGGTAAAGGGACAGCAATAGGAGGGGGAGAAGAGCCTGAGTGGATATTAA